GTGGGGTGCAATCAGCCATAGAGTGACACTTTATGCCACGTATGTAATGACAGGCAGCAAAGTGCCTTTAGGGTGCCAGCTTTCATCAAAGTAAATGTTGATGACATGTAGTTGTTGCAGAGCTGACGAACTGTCAAGGAGCTGTCAGGTTTGCACAATCACTGACACTGCACAGCTATGATCACCTTTATAATGATGAATGCTAACCTTTTGGGAACATGTAGTTGTTTTGTAGGCAAGCAGAAAAATGTGTGAATGTATGGGCATGCATATGTTAATCAGCGCCTTTGTAATTAGATACAAGATCTATTTTAAACTCACGTCTGTCAGACTTCTTCAGGTAGGGACTCATACAACCTAGTTGTTCTTCTATTAGTACTTGTGATATTGAAGAAGGAGTCATACTGTAAGGTGTAAGCAGTGTGGCTGTCTGAATTTAAAGGACACTGCATCTTCAATTTAAAGCAAAATTTCTGATAGCAAAGTCAGTATCTCCAAAATTGCTGCTCTTCCCTGAGCTGGAAATAAAAGCACTGAAAACTGATTTGAAGATGTATTTAGGTAATACGTTTTGGAGATGGTCCATTGACACTGAATTAGATTTTGACTCTGTGGGCTCATAGATTTTTAGAGATATTGTATTTAAATGAGTTCAAGCTTTGAATGAGAAAAATATGCCCAAACCACCACTATGTTAAAATCTTTTTTGTGCGTGTGTCATTCATGGTCAGCAAGCAGTTCCTAGATTTTGCTGCTGATGTCTGGAAGACATCATTGCAGATCTTTGCACTGCTGTTCAGCATACTCTGCCAGCGTACATGGTGAAATGTTTCAATGTGTATTTCATTTTTGGATAATAGTAAAGGAGATTTGTACAAAAAATATGGTTGCCAGATTAAATTGGTTTCACCCATTTTAGGTCTTTTCACAATTTATCCATTTTTATTTTTTATTTCTTTCATTTATCCAATTCGGGAACATGGAGGGGTTGGAGCTTACACCACTGACTACTGCTCTCTGTGGTAAATAATTGGAACTAACCTTCATCCACTGTTTTGGCAATTTCTGAGCCATCTACATTTTCCTCCAATAACCACTAGAGACATAAATGAGCCCACTGCAAATTTTACATAAAAAGACAGTTACAGGTTTAAAAATGACAGAGGAGTTTGAGTGCATTCTAACTATGCCATTTCCAGCTGCTAGCAACAAATATTTCTGGCCCAACTTCACCTACTTCCAAGGTGCATGGAGAAGACAAAGATCTGATGACGTGATGACTCCACACAGCAAAATCTCCAGTGTTAATTTAACACTGGAGATTTTGCTGTGCACCAACACTTCAAATAATAGGGAACAACTTTATTAAGTGACCAACGCATTTTGGCTTTTGGGCTTCAATGAGGTCATTGCAAAATGTCGAACAGTTTGTGTTTAAATAAAAAACAGAAAGAGAAAAAATTCCAGGTGGACCAATCACACCTTCACAAATAAACGAGCTGACCAACTGACATTTAACAAGGTGTTTTCGCTAATTGGCTAATTGGTTAAGCCACAGCCCAAATAGGTTCTGTACTGAACCACTACAGATTAAAAGGGGAGGGAAAAAAACCAAAACAAAAAAATCCCTGCATGTCTTAACGTAACATTTCAAGTGTATTTCCATGTTTAAGTTGCTGAGTTGTCAGTATTTTACTGTAACAGAAAAGCAGTGTATTGTGTGTCTCAACCCTCCGTCGCCAACCCCAAACCAAAACCCAGACAGATTCTTACTAGTTACAAATTATTGTATCTTTTCTTTGTTAATATTATCATTACTATTATTATTATTATTACTATTTTGAGTATTTTGTGTAGGAAGAATGAAGAGCTATCGTGTTGTCATCCAGGCCTTACTGTTCTTACTCTGTCTTGGTGGAAAACCTCAGTGTCATCAAAAGTATAACTCTGAGAGACTATCCTAAGTGGAAATCACTCTTGCTCAAGGCAAAATTTAAAAGAATGTGGAAACTACAGTAAGTCCAAAATTGAACTCAGCACTTCTAGTCTAGGCTCGCAAATTGAGGAGGAAAAGATGAAAGATCCTTGAGGAGAAGCAGATTAAATTAGGCAAAGAGAGAAACACAGTAAGACGCACAGTGAGCACTTATGATCACCAGGTTTTGTAATAAGAGTTCTGCTGACAATGAGTGCTGAATAGATTTCATTTATACATTAAGTACCTGCGGAGAGGATTTAGAAAAGAATAAGAAGACTTTATCAAGGATTTTAAGCTAAGCTTTCAGTAGTTCTCCTCCAACTGTTAGGCAAACTTATGAAAAGTTAAAAGAGGCCAAATCAGTATTTTCACTTTTGTTGCATAGTGTTTCATGGCCAGTTTTATCCATGCAGAATCAGACATATGTGAATAACAGAATTTCTATAATGTATTTTATCTCCTACTGAAACTTTATGAACAGATAGCCAATAAAAAAGTCACAAGAATTTGAAAAGAGGTTTTCACACTCTAAGGGTCCAGTAATCAAGATGTGCCATAATTACTTTGTGATTCATGGAGACATTTCTTTCCTAGTCTATGAAATCGTCAATACTGGAATTTCTTTGGGCTGTCCTTGGACACAGTTTGGCAGTATTGCTTACGTGTACACACTTAACCAGTGTGTACATGTGCACGCACTCATGCACGTGTACACATTAATAATGGGCCTCCTAATGAATTACAAGTAGACCTTGAGGCCATACACCTATGTCCCACTAACGTCTGGCTTCATGCCCAATGACAAGCCTCATAAAACAAAAGACAAGGACAGACACACACACACACACACACACACACACACACACACACACACACACACACACACACACACACAC